TCTTCAAAATATCGTCTTTTGTGTTTAACAGAAGAAAGAAACTCATACAGGTTTGGAACAACTTGAGGGTGAGTAAATGATGACAGAATTTTCATGTTTGGCTGAACGATCCCTTTGACATCCACACAATTTTAAATGCACAGTGTCATTACACATTGATATTTTGTTGGTTTAGTCATGGCATTAAGTAACCAAAATTTAACGGCTCTCCAATGTTGCTTTTCACATGAACCCTGATTTTCATCTTTAGCCAAAATTTACATCTGTCCAGTGCCTGTCTGTTGCAAGCTGGAATCATTCATATTTCATCATATTATCATTACAAAACACACATTCCCATCAAACTCTCTGTGTGTGTGTGTGTGATCAATTAATTCCTCAATTTGTGATCAATTAATTCCTCAATTTTTTTCCATTTCCATGTACATCCTTCATGTTTTATCTGTTCCATCAATAGACCCCAAGATCAGAAGTAAGTTCCAATTTTCCAAAGTCTTTTTCTGTCAGCCCTCCAACCACCTATCCATCTACTTATTCATTTAGCAGAAAATGTGTAATTGGTTGAAATGATGTATTTTTTTACTAACAGAAATGAAATGATCATTGTTTTTTCTTCAGTGCCCATGTGGGCCATTGGTGCCATAGTTGTGGTCGTGCTTGCCCTGGTTGGCTGCTTTGCTTTCTGTATCTATAAGAAGTGTTTGGGAGGGAAGAAAAAAGCTAAAAAAGTCAGAGAGAGGAAGGGAGGACGAAGAAGGATGAAAAAGGAAGGAGAGGAAGAAACAGGCGAGGTAGGAGAGTCTGAACATTTAAAACAGTGTTCAGAGAGAGCGAAGCTCTTTCAGACCTCGATCTGTCAAATTATTCATTTTAATCTAAGTATTAAAAAGAAAAGAGGTAATGTTTGGCTTAAAGTTTTACTTAAGTATTTTAAATTTATACTGCCCATACTTAGGAACAACCTAAAGAAGGAGAGGGCGAGGGAGAGAAAGAATATTATGGCAAGTTGGAGTACACTCTGGACTATAACTTCACTGACAATCAGGTTGGTTGAGAGGATGTTCTTTATATTCATTCTGATTGTGAGTTGATATGATACATTTTTTACACAAATCAAGAAGTGCTATTCTAAAAGAATGTGTGACTAGCTGCTTGATTTTGAAAACCTGACCCACAACCTTTTATTCAACAACCTTCAGCTCATTGTTGGTGTCTTGCAAGCCCAAGACCTTCCTGCCATGGATATTGGTGGAACATCTGACCCCTATGTCAAAGTTTATATGCTACCAGACAAGAAGAAAAAGTTTGAAACCAAGGTCCAGCGCAAGAATCTGTGTCCTGTTTTCAACGAGACATTCCTATTTAAGGTATTGCAGTTATGTTTTTATAAACAGGCATTTTTTGGGGATTAACCTAAAGAAAATTTGTCACACTTAATTGCTTAATTTCACAGTAGAGTAAGTGCAACATACCTTTTTTTGTTCAAACAGGCATTCGACATGATTTCTTGTTTTTTTTTCTGTTTCTAGATCCCCTTTAATGATCTAGCAGGGCAGACTCTGGTCCTGCAGGTGTTTGACTTTGACCGCTTTGGTAAACATGATGTAATTGGAGAGATCAAAATCCCTATGAACAGCATTGACCTGGGCCAGCCCATACATGAATGGAAAGACCTGGTCGGAGGAGAGAAAGAGGAAGTAAGGCTTTCCATCAGGCTGTTTTAAAAAAAAAAATTGTCAGCTGCCATAGTCTGTTTTTTGATGCTTTTAAACTAAACACTCTCCTCTTCCTCCCCAACAGCAAGAAAATTTAGGAGACGTCTGTATCTCCCTGCGCTATGTGCCCACCTCTGGTAAACTGACCGTCTGTATCATGGAGGCCAAGAACCTGAAGAAGATGGACGTGGGTGGTTTATCAGGTTAGTGTGGTAGCGTTATTTTGTTAAAGTTACATTTCCTTTCTGTTGTACTTGATATTAAAATGAAATGATTCTCTACACATCAAATGTGACTTTATTTTAATATAATTAGATTTTTATTTTTTGAATTATCCTGGCTTTTCTGTGGAAATGTGGTGCTAAGCTGCATTTCTTGTCTTTATCCATATAACAATGCCTCTTTCTTACTTTTCTCTTTACTTTTCTGTGTTAGATCCTTTTGTGAAAGTGGTTTTGCAACACAATGGAAAGCGTATCAAGAAGAAGAAGACGACAGTTAAGCAGAACACACTGAACCCCTACTTCAATGAAAGCTTCAGCTTTGAAATCCCCTTCGCTCAGATTCAGGTAAACATGTTTCAAACACATTTACGTGACTACTTGCATATCTAATACATTTACAGATTTGTATTTTTGGTCCTTTAATGCGTCAAAATGCGACCTTTTCACTGTATAGTATGTTTAAAGTGCTAATGTTACTACACTGTAAACAATTCTTTTTCAAAGTTGTAAATAAAACAGAATATATTGCAGTATATTTTAGTCTTTCTACTTCAGAATTTTACATTTAATTCAGTGTTACTTTCTGTTTCTTATTTGTGAATTTTACTAGCAAAATCTTGAATTTTGACTTTCTGATATCTGTTTCAAAGTAAATCCAATTTTTGTTCAGTCTACTAAAATCATCTGTGTTTACAATTGAAAAGTTTGATGAGAAAGAATAAAGTGGATTAAATGCATATTGACCTGTTTTTCTCTGTTTCTCTGCCTTCTTGTAGAAGATCCAGGTGTTGATCACGGTCTATGACTATGATAAACTGGGAAGCAATGATCCAATTGGGAAGTGCTGGATTGGGTTTGGTGCTAGTGGGGTGGGTCTGCGCCACTGGTCAGACATGCTGGCCAATCCCAGACGACCTGTGGCCCAGTGGCACACCCTTCAGCCTGAAGAGGAAGTAGATGCTGCCCTTAAAGCACCTATCCGCTAAATATCTTATCCGCCCCTCAACTAAAAGTTTTCACACATCTGGCAAAACATCATTTAAATTTTATCCGTCCTTTCACTGAGGAGTTTCTGTCTGTTATGTTATTGATCATCATCCTGTACCCTTCTTTACTGTGAAACAAAGGAGGAGCAACTTTTATAAATGTTATTATGTATATTATGTTCATCTGGACTGTGTTTCTTATTTAAATGTGTCTGTATGATGTGGAGGATAAGTGTGTGTGTTTTGTTTGAAAGTGTTGTATGTGTGTATCTGTCCATAACTGTTCTGATTTGCCTCGTTGTTTTTCTGTGAACCAAGATATGACTATAAACACAACAACTGGATACATAATCACAGATTTTAAGATGTGTTTTTATTTCATATAGGCTACAAATGTGACCCTGGACCACAAAACCAGTCATGAGTAGCACGGGTATATTTGTAGCAATAGCCAAAAAACATTTATTGATTTTTCTTTTATGCCAAAAATCATTAGGATATTAAGTAAAGATCATGTTCCATGAAGATATTTTGTAAATTTCCTACTGTAAATATATCAAAACTTAATTTTTGATTAGAATATGCATTGCTTAAAACTTCATTTGGACAACTTTAAAGGCGATTTTCTCAATATTTAGATTTTTTTGCTCCCTCAGATTCCAGATGTTCAAATAGTTGTATCTCCACCAAATACTGTCCTATCCTAACAAACCATACATCAATGGAAAGCTTATGTATTCAGCTTTCAGACGATGTAGCTATACATCTCAATTTCAAAAAATTGACCCTTATGACTGCTTTTGTGGTCCAGGGTCACAAATAGACATACAATAGTTGTAAAATTGTTGGGGGTAAAAACCAAAAAAATGTGAGCAGGGACTTAGAGCCGGTGAAGGGCGGAAGTGTGGAGAAGATGGAGACCAGAAAGGACACAAAAAAATTATACAGAGCGAAAGGGAGAGCTTGGGGAAGGTTGGACAGATAGAGAGACGGCATTTTAAATAAAAAGTAAATTAACTGGTTCAATATGAATTGATTAAAAACTACAAAACAGATTAACACAAGCCGAGATGCAAGTCGGTGCATTTGCAAAGCTATCTTTAGAATAAGTTTTGGTTTTAGATTGATACTCACAACAAATATTCTTAACAGTGTTAATCTATATGACATCTAGTGAATTTGTGACTGTCATGCTACAACACTGCCGCTTTGAGAGCTAGCATCATGATTTTCAAATCGGTTTCTCAAAGGCTCTTCAGGTAGCTTGTATACATTAACATGTTTGGTCACACAGCAAGAACATTGTAGATAAAGACTTACCAGCAGGAGGTGTAGTGTTAACATGAAGTTTTGCTAGTCTACTCATTTATTATGAACAAACATGCGCTGACGGCCACCAGATGGTGGTTGCAGATCAACAATAAAACTAATGTCAGTAATTCTAATATATACATTCCCTGGCTTCAATGGGTGCAAAAGTCCTAATATAATGACGTGGACTTTAGAGTTCGCAGAGTTCAAATGCAGCTGTTGCATGCAGTGGGCAGAGTCCTGTTCCTCACTAGAGCTAACTAAGCAGGCCAGAGCATGGTCAGTACACTGTTGGGAGACCCTTTGTGAAAACGTAGGTAGCTTCTGCAACTAGTTTTATACAACCTGTTCTTTACTATTACGTCACTCCACCACAAGAGGCTTCAGGTCTGATGTACACAACAGTTCCAACTTTTGGATTCCTTGATAACATCCCATTTTACTTCAGCAAACCTAATGAAAACTGACCAAAAGACATGTAGGAAGTACATTTAAGGAAATGACTTGTGCTATTAATGGCGAGGCATGTGAGCTGAAGACCACAATTATTGTGCAGCATCATGAAAACAGGATTCTCAGGCCATGTTTTAAACACTATGAATGAAGACAGACATCTTTAAATGATGTCAAAGCCACTTCAGTCTGACACACAACTTATTTTCATTTCCTCAACACACATTCCTCTTCCCTTTAGGAGGAAATTAGTTTCTGATGCATTTTTGCAAAGAATAAATGATGATTCAGATGCATTTTTTCATTTACATTTATTAATTTAGCAGACACTTTTTTTCCAAAGTGCCTTACGAATGAAAATAATACAGAAGTGATTCATCCAATCCAAGCACATCAGATCTGAGAGTTTTGAATACATTTAGAAATATAATTCTTTTGCAGAGGCTGTGAAATTGTCAGAAGAGTCAAAAGTAAAAGCATCCATGGTGTCTTTTCATTATTTTCCCAATTTCTTATTTCCAGCGACCTCCAACCTTTCCTTTACCATGGCCTTTTTTGCTGTGATAAAGAGAGAGGTGAGACATGAGCATACCTGAGACAGATTTCTATGAACTTTTTCAAATATTTTTTCACTGAAGAAAAATGCTTAAGGAATAAGGGCTGGTTCGTCCAAAATTAAAAATTCTGTCATCATTAACTCCAAAACCTACATGATTTCTTTCTTCTGTGAAACATAAAACATGGTATGTTGGTGACAAAACAGTTTCCGTTCCTATTGACTTTGAATGTATGCACAAATACAATGGAAGTCAACAGGAACCAAAACTGTTTGGTTATCAATATTCTTCAAAATCTCTTCTTTTGTGTTCAGCAGAAAAAAATTAATAAATGCATACAGGCTTACTGGACAAAATAAGGGTGAGTTACAGATGACAGAATATAAATTTTTGGGTGGACTATCCCTTTAAGTTTGAAACACACTATACAACTTTTTCCTAGCTTTTTGCCCTGATTTGCAGTCTGGTGGAGTCGACACTAGTTGCCAAAAGTCAGAGCCACACCACAGAATTTGAGCAGTCAGTTTTTACAGCTTTCAGATGTCACAGTTGTATGCACACATTTTTTTTTTTTTTGCTTTTGCTTTTAAAATTGATCACGTTCTGCAAGAAGGGGAGGAGAGGGGAGGGCAAGGCCCATGAATGCCCCACCTTGGCGCCGGCCCTGGCGTAGTCTGTGATGACTCCGATTGTTTAGCCTCACACTATGGTTTTATCCAGTCTGAGAATGTCAAACATATGAACTCATATTGTTTTCATTTGACTTCTTGCAATGAGGCGAATTTTTCTGAGTGAGTTGTGTTTGGACTTGAATGTCTGTGTCTGTGTGTGTGTGTGTGTGTGTCTATGTCTGTGTGTCTGTGTGTGTGTGTTTGGATGGTGACTTACAACTTTTGAGCATGAGAAATCCTGTTCAGCAGAACAACAATCTGTTGAGAAGGAAGCAACGTACAGATAAATAAATTTTTTGGCACTTTCACTTTCTTTTCACTCTTTCTGTTTTCCTCTAATTCAACCGAGCACAGATTAGTATTCGCCAACACAAACACAGACAGATTTAATACTGTATAATCCTTCATTAGATGCCTACACCTAGATTCTCTCTCGGTGACTCAAATCACCACACCTCATACTTCTGTCTCTTCATTTGATCCAAGAGGTCAAACTTCTCTGACTCCAGCTGGTAAATCCAGTTCCACATCTCCTGAGCTCGTTGCCTGTTTTGTGGGAGTAAGGAACATATATGATGCAAAACTGTTTGAATAGACACCTAGTCATGGAGCATGTGGGGAAAAATGAGAGTCTAAAAAGGAACACACTTTTCAATGTAAAGTTAAACATCCTGTGCACATCTTGAATAACGATAAACATATGACTGTATTTGGATGAGTATGTGGGTGGTTACCTCAACCCATCTTCTCGCAGATTTTCGATGCCAAGAGGAGAGCGCCTCTCTGAAAGAGTCTTTCTCTTGATCTCTCGTCCCGTAAGACGCTTCCCCCGTTTCTGCTCTGCCTACAACACAAAAATGCATATGCACTGTACAAGCATTATTAATGTACGTATGGTAAGAAACATGTACACAACAGTAACTTACCTTGGCTAAGAAGCCACCAAAGTTTGCCCCCATATTGGACAAAACCTTCTTCTTCTTGGCCTCGTCTTCTGCTCTCTTCTTAGCCTCCTCATCCTCTTTCCTTTGACGCTCTTCCTGATGAGAGAGCGTAGATAATACATTTCACATCGATTCTATCTTGCAAGTGTTCTGTATTAAATTCCACATACGACTTAGAGAGCATTTTACGTTTCATTTCTGATTTACCGCAATCCTCGTCTGTCGGTCTCTTTCTTTCTCCGCTCTAACACGCTGCTGCTCTGCTCTTTCTGCCCGCCGCCGCTCCTGAGGACCGAATGGCCGACAATTAGTGCAAAGCAAAGAGAAAATAGAGTGCAGAAAGTTTTTTGAAAAAACTGAGATGATCAAGATCAGGAATTACAATTCTCTCCTTCAGACCGATCAGTTCTTCCTCCTCTTTCTTCCTCTGCTCAAAGTGGACATCAATTAAAGTCTGCAACTCCAGAAAGTCCTTCTCCATCCTTTTTCTGTGAATATCCTGAGAGAGGAAATTATATAGATTTTCATAAAGTCTGAACAGCTTAAAAAAACACAATGGTATGTTTTCATGTCTTCATTGAACACACCATATAAACATTTACCCTGCATGGTGGAAAAAAAGTGAACCCTGCATTTTCTCAGTTTCCAGTTAATTTTAAACAGATGAACTGAACTGGACTGAAATACTGCAGTGAATTGGTACTTACATCGAAATCAACCCGCTCACCCTCTGGAATCTTTGGAGGGGCAAGTTGTGGAACCATGGGCCTGTGTGAGAAAGGGGAATTAGCACGAGATTGAGGGGAATGAGTGCAAGAAGACATTAGGAAAATGCAAAGCATGCTTGTGAAGAGTCTGAACACTTACTTGGGCCGGGGTCTTTCCTCCTCTGCAAAAGGGTGCAACGAACAGGGAAAAAAGAAACAAGGAAGTTCTTTTCAAACGTAGTCATAAAGCCCTTCCTATTCACACACAACTGTACAATAGTCCACTAGTCTTGCTGACTTTTGAGGGCCGTCATACTGAATTACACTGGTTGTATGAAATATGTTTTTCTGCCTCCTTTTGACATTTTCCCATTTTATAAATATCTGGAAATTCTTTTAAATAAAGCTGGTCCCTCTGATGCAACACAAGACTAAAGGACACTGCAGTCACAGGGTTCCTTTAAGAACTCTCAGTGATTTATTACAGTTAATATAACATTTTGGGTTGGGAAAAAACATGTCAGTCTGGCGAGTAACACAAAAGAGCCGTAAAAGTTGAATTTGATCAGATATTTAGAGCCTCTTCCCACTAATCTATATAAAAAAAAAGTCAAAGTAAATATTTTAAACTAAAATCCCTCACCTTCTTCCTGAGTCTCCTCTGATGAAAAAATACAAGAACATATTAACAACAGAGAACAATGGGCGACGTGGAAATAACATGGTCAAAAAATTAGTAGATAAGCAGACATTTGACAAATAATAACGATGTGTGAAAAAAATACTGTTCAGACATAATGCAAATCTCCAATCCAATTTCTTATTGTGTGACTGGGCATGCACCATACTCTCGCGCTCATTTCGTTAGAAAAAAAAAATGCAATGTGTTCCACGGTGTGCAGCCAAATGTTTACAAAAACACACCATATATTTGCATTACACGTCTAAAATGAAGAGTTATATTTCAAATTACTGACTACGTGATTTATTAAATATAACACAGCCCTCACACACATTACTAAAAATGCATGTTACATGCACAATCTTCCCTAAGGTTTATATTTTACATGCCATTCTGGTGGTGCATGTCTTTGTATCAAGTACCTTGATATTCTGAATACTCCTGCTGTTCTGTAATATAGATTCAACAAATAAACATGAAAACAAATCAAACATATCAATATCTTTAACAGATACAGAGAATCTTGGCATTCAGTCCTCAGTAATCCTTATCTGTCCTTATTTGCCTTCCTCTTGCTCCATTTCTGCATGTCTTCTTTTAAACAGGATAAAGTATGTGTTTTGATCGAATGTGGATTTTGACTTTTTTTTTACATCAATATACTAATTTACTATGTTTTTATTACCATACTATTATTAAAACCAAATAAAATGTTGTTATCAATTTTATTAACATTATTACATTACTCAAAAATATTGTGGAAAGTTTACATTTTGCCAATCATTACAGTGCAGCTGATTACTTCAGCAATCCACTTCTCTTTTATTTCTATTTCTTTCTATTATCTCTTTTATTTCTATTTCTTTCTATTATGTATTACAAGTCCTCAAGTACTTTGTCTGTCATGAACATCAAGAAAGATATATTTACCTTCATCTGAAAATATGAACTAGAGAACTATTGCCTATTTTTGTATGTGCCTTTTTGGACCATACATTTTCAGTACATCACAAATGATGGCTGCAGAAACAGAGGTGCAGCTTTAAAGGAACACTCCACTATTTTTGAAAATAGGCTAATTTTCCAACTCCCCTAGAGTTAAACAGTTGAGTTTTACCGTTTTCGAATCCATTCAGCCGATCTCCGGGTCTGGCGGCAGCACTTTTAGCTGCAGCTTAGCATAGATCATTGAAACTGATTAGAATCTGATTGGTCATTTTTGAGGGAGATGCTAACGGTCTAATCAGATTCAACGATCTATGCTAAGCTGCAGCTAAAAGTGCTACCGCCAGACCCGGAGATCGGCTGAATGGATTCGAAAACGGTAAAACTCAACTGTTTAACTCTAGGGGAGTTGGAAAATGAGCCTATTTTCAAAAATAGTGGAGTGTTCCTTTAATTTTACGGATTATTTCTAGTTCATTTTGATTCACATGTAACGTATTAATGTACATACAGTTATGAACATAATCAGTGGAAATAATCCCTCTACTCCCAGTCATGTGACTTTGTGCTGAATTTTACAGCTGCTGCCTCACTTTCACACTATTTTGGCTGGTGTCGCTTTCTGCATTACATACTATCCCATATTTTGTAATATTTAATTTTGTATGGCCTATTATTTTCTAATCGACTTTAAAGAGACTTTGTTTTGAACTCTCGATGAGGTATTATTTTACCTGCTCCTGCATCCTCTGCAGCCTCCTCCTCCTCTGCTTCTCACAAATAAGCCACAATGACAAGATGACGGAGGAAAAGGAAAACATAAGTGAATATCAAGAGAGCACGTGAGGACAATCAGGAGAGAATATGAGTATGTATATAAATAAGTGTGTGCAAAAGATTATGTAAGTGTACACCATTTGTTAGGGATGTGCGCCAACAGCAGCATGAGATCAGATCAGTCTGTAATAATAACCCTTCCAGGAAAAGGCATTGTGAAAAGCCTAAGCACCCAATCAGACTCATGCATAGCTCCGTGAAACCAACTGAAGCTCAGCAGGGCCTCGAGAGACATCTATAACTGGCCTCTGGGTACACATTATGCCAAGGATTTACTGATAATCACTAAAGCTAAAGTTTTAGAGGGCAAAAAAAAAAAAAAACAGAACAATTCTACTCACCCTCTGCTTGTTCACTATGAGGCCATTTAGTAAAAGAAAAGAAAAGGAATAAGTAAAAATCACAGTAAATGTAATGCTTTATTAGACCGATAATCAGTAATGATAGAAAAAAAAGAAACATTACTCACTCATATTCCTCCTCTACATCAGACATGGTGAAACTGGACGAGAGAAGGAGGAAGAGAAAGTGAGAGTGAGACAGACAGTACATGGAAAAATAGCTTAACATTTCGTAATAGCTTTAGAAAGAGGATGAGAGAGCAGGAGAGAGTGACAAAGCCAAAGCAGCATCAGATCTAAATTGTTCCATTGTCCCAAAGTGCTGACATCTGATTGAATGCTTCATTTGAAGACTGATGGGGTGGGAACAGGTGGGAATGTGCAGACAAAGACGGGGTCAGATACGATTTCTGACACTTTCTTCGTTCGGTTCTTCCATTACTACAGTTTCAGACATGTTAGTTCTGTAGCACCTAGTTCTGTTTTGCACAACTGTCAACTAAGTGGACAACTTGCTGTGAACCTGGCCTTTCCCTAACTGGATCTTATGGATTTGATTGCAGGAATTGCAGTTAATGACTGTCATACACTGTATAATTGCAGTCATTAACATTCCACTGTCAGATTCCTTTCCCTCTGCCTCATCATTCACATCAGTGCCATATCATAACTGCTATTTGAAACAATTTTATAGCTACAGTGTCATCGCCAGAGAGAATTTATGAGGCATGTAGCTGTCACCACACCTCTTGTACTTTACCGCCTCTGGACAAAGGCTTGCAAGCACATGCAGTGCCCATCTAAATCCAGCGTCCTTTCAACAGTTCACCTGCTGCTACTTTGCTAATGAGATTCTCAGCATCTCAGAGCACGAGTCTGGCAATTTCTGCACGAAAGGATCAAATTACAAACAGAAGATGCCCCTCGCACTGGATCAACCCAAGTAGGGATAGACGCAAGAGACAACAGGATGAGAAAGTGGAAGACAGAGAGGGCGTTTGAGGGGCGAGTAAGGTTATGGGAGGTCATAGCGGCATTAACCACAGAATTCTGATGGGTTAATTTTAGCCAAGGACGCAGGGGGAGATTATATTAGTTACAGCGAATCTTTATTGCTCTGAAAGTGAATTTTATTCAGTTTCGCAAGTCCATTTGGTCTAGGACAAAAATCAAACGCTGCACAAATCAGTGTAGACTACTACAGGCAATTATGCCAGGAAGATGTATGCAGGTTATGACCATCATTAGTGAACTACATACTGTTCTGCCTTTAGTTAATTAATTACATCAATTTTTGAGTCCTACATAAGCACACGTCTGGTACAGGACACTAAAACACAATAATGTATAACTAACATTATTATACTGTAATTGCACACAAGAACTTAAAATCAACAGACCTTCTGAAAAATACTGAAAATTCAATTACTTTTCTCCAGATGGAAAGAAATGACTAAAAATACAATTGTTTGAGAAGTTACAAAAAAGACTTTTACCTTTTGGTGATGGTAGGATGGGTTCACAGTGGATGATAAACAGGCACACAAAGGATGAGAGGACAGTCCCTGTGAATTATGAGTTTTGTAATGCGGGACAATGGCTCGTTTTTATATGAGGACAGGGACAGATGGAGGGTGTTAGCAGCTACGGCATAGGACCATGGATGGATTAGAAATGAACCCTGGGACAGAAAGATGACCACCACGAGGGATTAGGGGAGACAGTGGGAATGACCTCACACAACAAACACAGGGATATAAAAAGAGATAGAAAAAACAAAGGGACAGTTGGGAACAAAAATAACACAGGGGATTTAGACACAATTCTTCCCAGAAGACATATTTTCTATTCGACACAATGTAAAATAGGGTAATGGCTAAGACAACATAGAGGTAAATGGATGGGCTCCCATTTCTTGTAGGTATTGGTCAGGAATATAAAAGAAAGTTTTGTTTGTCCTTCTACCTTTTTTTAATTCAGATAATTAGCCAAAATACTAACCCTGCAGATAGCTGATTTAAGTTCCAGTAGATGGAAAAGTTGCTGATATATGCAGTGAGGTCAAAGGCAACATGTTCAGCTTGCACAATTGTTGCCTTGTTGCGAAATTACTTAGCCTTTGGCTGAATGGCAATACAACAGACTTTAATAGATTACAATTCAGTTATTTTGTTGTAAAAGGAAATCTTTTACCTGCAGATTACAATAACTTTGAGTCTTACAATGGTCACTTTATTTTCTTTCTGTGAAAATGAATTTTCTAGTCACATTTTCTACTCACAGTTTTATTGAAGAACACTTATTTATTTATTTAGAACTAGGCAGTCATTTCTTGAATCAATATTTGGTTCATAGTCCTTCCAGAGTTTGTTTAGGTTGCTCACAGATTTGTACAATTACATAGTGGACATTTATTCCAATCAATGCCAGTTCAGTGGTTCTCCAGCTCTTTTTAAAAAGAGTTTCTCTAGATTGTGACTTTCAAGCCATACTTCAAGAATACTAACTTTTTCCCATGTGACTTCACTAGAACATGCAGTGTTTGCTTCTATTTATTTGCATTGGGCTTTAATCAAAGCACCAACAAAGTTCTTGATTAAGAAAAACCCCAAATATGCAAATCGTATTTCCTGTGGGACTGCACCAAACATTGAGCCTTTGCACTCATCAGAGCACAGAATGTCCTTCAACAAACTCTTAACATAACAGTCTTTCTTCTCTCTTTGCTGTTTAAAGAACACAGTTCTATAATAATCCCTGGCAGAAAGTAGAGGGCAACAAAAGAGACATTGTCAGAAATGTATCTCTAAAAAAACATATATAATTATATAATTTGGTTATATATATTCAACCTTTATATAATTAGTTACAGATTAAATCTTACTGAGCAACACGCATAACACTTTCTGTATACAAAATGAAGTTTATTATGAAGTAATAGCCTTGCAATTTATGAAGACAATACTGGCATGGTCACTGTGAGCGTCTGAAAAGAAAATAGGAAAAGACTGTATGAGCCATACTGCAAATCCACACCAGCACTAATATAATGGGTCAAAGAGTGGTCATTGTGTAGCGGTTAAAAAAAGACAATACAAAAAGACTTGAAATTGGGCAATGCTATCCTGACAAGAACTCACCTGTGTGTTTGTGTTGAACTGGGCAACACTGTTTTCTTGGTCAATAAGAAGGGGAAAGAAAATATCCAAGTGGAAAAGAGAAGATCGAGCAATCAGCACTAGTCTGTCTTCTCCCAAATCCAGAACAAGAGAGCAAGCAGATATCTAGTGAAGAAGACGGCAAAGCCTCGAATCTCGTACTTTGTGTTAACATGTAGTTGAACATAGTCCAAAACCAGGCCTCCATTACTCACCACTCCAGGAAGCAGGATCTCAGCGATCAGATGCTCTGCATTTCCACTTGGGGGCTCCACTAATAAACTGAACTCTGGACTGGAGTTAATGAAGCACAATAAAGGCATAAATTATTAAATTGCAGGTAAAGTTCTGCCTCACAATAACCAATTGTATATCACACTGAGCATAACAAATGGGGCAAAACTAAGTCTTTGCACTCATCTCTGGGTTGTCAAACATAAGTGACAGCAAAACACGAAAGGGACACACCAAACAATTTACAAATGCATTTAAAAAAAAAAAAAAAAACTTCAAATAAACATACCGTTTGGTTGATGAAGGCAAGGAGTCAGATTCCCTGTCCACAGAGAACAAAGTGATTAGAGGAATTCCAGTTATAGCTACTCAGCAGGTCAACAATCAGAATGGGATCAGGTGCACAAAAGAGCAATGAGCCACAGATGGACCGCACACACTGACAAATCACTAATCACATGACACATACGCACAGTAACAGACAGGCAAAGTGTCACTGATAACTAGGAACAGGTCCAGACAGAATGTGTCAATGATTTTTGAACAAATTTGGCAGCATTCTGTGAAAACTATTTCACTTTAGTAAAATGTGTTAAACAGTAAGTATAAAAATCTTATTGGTAGCTGAAAGCACAATTTTTAGACAAAATATTAAAGAACCAAACACACAAGGGGCTTGCGATGAGATAATTATTATCTATAATTGAATTTTTCAACTGTAAATATACCACTTACGCACTAATAGATTATGATGAATAACTAATACATCAATGAACGTCAAAGTAAAGTATCGAAATTTCACCCCTCCATCAGGCACACCTAGCTGGTGTCAAGTATGATGAACAACTATTTATTTTGTTACAATGCTGTATAACCCAACTTGTTTGAACACTGCCAGAGGGCCTTCAGTTGTAAGAAAGCTATAACTGAAAACTTTGCTGTTCAGAAGTCTTAAAGGGGCAATCACAAGCATTTAATAATGAATGAATACATGTGAATACATGAATAAGAAATGGCACACTTTTCTTTGTGAGTATTTTTAACACATGAAGGCCTAACTGTTATTTCCTCAGCAAGACCGTAATGATGTGTTGATTAATCTACAGCACTGGAATGAATATCTGTTTTGGAAATGTTCCGCTCCATTTCAACTAAACACATCTGTGTTGATGCTTAAAACCCAGCACAATGGATAGAGCACCAAGTGGACAAAAGGTAAGTCCAGCAATTATATGTCCACTGTGTTGATTTTACTGCCAGGGACAGATGGCAGTATGGCGGGAAAATGAACATGGTGGCCGCAAATGGCAACAAAAAACTGCTCTGAGCAAAATTCCTTCCTTTGCAATACTGATCCAGAGATGTCAGCCCATTTTAGTTGTCTTTTCTTGTTGGGTTCAGAGGCAAGTCACCTTCAATCATACCACTGTTTGCATTTATTTATTTTTTGTTATAATTAATGGAGGTTTTGTAGTACTTTACAAATATTTTTTGGAAATGAATAAAAATGATTCCCTGAAGAAGGCTTGTTGCCGAAACATTTGATTGTCAATTGCTCCGTTGCAAAATTAAAATAAATTACAAGTCATTAAGAAGATACAGCAAGTGCGGATCCTTTATCTGAAAGCAAAATGTTTACTATCTATTGACAGAGCTGTTTGCAGAATGTCACTATTTTGGCCAATTCAATACTAATAAAATACACTAATATAGTGTATAGTGTATTATTAAATATAACCGAATTATGTTTATTTTCATATTAAGATTTTTCAATAAATATCGATTCTCAAATACTCATTTTCCGTAGTATTTATACACAGATACCAGTTGTGCTTTCTCACTCTCAATTCAAATCGATAGACTAGTGAACCCCATTACTTCATGTGCTGTAAGTTTAACATGCATTTGAAGGGAACTGATTGTCTTCAGAAAAGTTTAGATGCCATTTTCCTGTCAATAGAGTGATATTTATAGACGCAGTACTGCTTTGTGTACAGGGTAGCCGCTGTATTTCTGCTGTCCCATGAGCGGTATGTGCTTTTTACAAAACCTTTTGTTAGTGTCAAAACTTTAATTGTTAAGAGTAAAGTTGTTTTAATCACTGTTTTACTGTAATTTTATAGTTTATGATGTTACCATAGACATTGGTGTTAACATGTAGTTCTATTCTGAACAACATCTGAATTTTCTGAAACAAACGGCTGATTCCAGTACATTAGTAGGCTTCTTAATAAGTATTATTTGTTTTCCTTCTCACAACCTGATTAAGCACCACCCCAATAAGACTCATTTTGAAGAAGAACTCACTTTGAGTCAATTTCCTGGATAATAGGCTTGCTCTTGGCACGAATATTTTGTTCTGCTATGGAGCCCATGAACTTCCGGTTCTTCAAAATTTTAACATCTGAAAAAAAAAAGGAAATGATAGGATCAATGGACATGGCATGAAGAGGCATTTTCTGAACTAGACACATGCAGAGTATGATCGGAAATTAATGGTGGCTTGGGGCAAAAATGCCCCCCATCCCCCCCCCCACCCCAATTCCAGATAAGGGGAAAAAAATGTCCCTACACAATTTAGCTAGACTTATTACGGCTGACACAATTAAAGTGAAAAGTGAAATCAAATGTGTCATTACATTTACAGTGGATTTGCTCATGTTGCGCAAGATTTCTTTTTATGCATGTTTTGCAGCGTTGAGCATTATAACCAATCACCCATGTTTCTGCTGATGCTTATGAATGCAATGTCCAATCAGAAGTGTTTTTGAGTTTTTCAGTGCACACACTCACTGACTGAATGCTGAATTCTCTCATCATCATAAGATGTATTTTGCAGTGTAGACAGCAAAAATGCATATCTCACTTTATTTAATTTATTCCCAGTTTGACTAACCATTTTGTTTTTCATGCTACTGAAACAAACCAATGTGACGTTTCGATTTTCTAATCTGTAAAATGAAATAAATTCATTAACAGTTCTTAGTTTTTGTCTGTAGCCAGAATATGACATGCTATCCCCCCCCCACACC